GAAGTCAGAGAGGGATTCTTCATCAGGAGCTGTAGTGATAGGACAAGGAGTAATGGGTACAAAGTGAAAGAGGGGAAATTTAGGCTAGATATTAGGAAAAAATTCTTTGCTGTAATGGTGGTGAGGCGCTGGAGCACCAGTGGGAGGATGTGGATGACCCAACCCTGGCAGTGTCCAAGGCCAGGCTGGATAAGGCCTTGAGCAATGTGACCTAGTAGAAGATATCCCTGTTCATGGCAGGTGAGGTTGGGACTAGATCATCTTTAGGTTCCTTCCAACCCAAACCATTCTGTGATTTTACCAAAGGATGGAGAGTATCAGCGTGATTTGTGCCACCATTCCCATCTCACTGTCTTTCCCTGCCCTCGGGTGCCCTATTTCAGTTCAGACAGGGCTGAGCATGCCAGGGTACCAAGGAGATCCTCTTTCCCCAGTGTGGCTCAGAGCCACTTGCATCCCTTAAAAGGCATCTTCTGACTCAGATACACTTTCCTCCATTGTCTGGGGCATGTTGTTTTGCAGCTGGAGACTAGTGAATGAAGCTGAGTTACTGACCTTGATTCGACAAAAATGCACACTTGTGCTTTGCAAAACAAGCCTTTTAAAGCTGGCTTTTATGCAGAGAATTATGCCAATGTGTTCATGGAGGCGCTGGCATTTCGGGCCCTTTTCAATCTTCTGGATTGTCAGTGAGTCTTTCACTGATTTAAGCCTTCAACCAAAGGACGGATGCTGCAAGAGGCAGTGAAGAGGACTCAAGCAGGTACTGGAGTGTTTAGCCCAGGAGCAGATGCTTGGATCAGGGCCTAGATCAGAAGAGGTATTTTATTATGCTGAAGGAGGTGTTGTTTTACTGCATTGTAAGGAGGCACAGATGATCCCTCTTTTTAAGGGGAGAAATAAAACATCATCTGGTTTTAAGGCTTGTTCTCATCCCTTTTTGGTGTGGATGTGCATGGCAGCCCCACAGGAACTGGGTCTCAATGAGCTTTGCCACTTTTTTCCATCATGTCATTAAATTGAGAGGTGAAGATGAGTGAGGCCAGCTTGAGGAGTTTTGGAATTCCCTCTGGTCCTCTTTCAGCCTTGCCCACAGGTTAGGAACATTTTTCTTTGAAGGTTCTGTGAGAGGCAGCAGGGGTTTTGTTTGGGAGGAAGCTCTTGGTCCGGGTCTGGTGCAGGCAGGAGGTTTTATTCCCTTTGCACCATGAGTTAAATGAGGCCCTGGCCTTGCAGGAGGAGCTCGGTTTGGTGAGCATCGCCAAAATCTGGTAGGACAATACCCCGCCGGGCCAGCGCCCCGCTTCCGCTCCCCGAACAATGGGAGTTTACACAACTGCAGCCCACTTGAGGTTTCTGCCTCGCTTCATGGCTGAGCAACGAGACCCCAAATGTTACAGCTCTGCCTAATGTCCTTGGCTCTGTCCTGCTTTGGAAGGAAACATGCAGAGGCCTGTGCTGCCAATGCTATTTCCTCTCTCGCTTGTCTTTAAAGGTCTCTTTTTCCAACAGCTGATCGGCTCCGCAGCTCCGGGGAGGACGTGATATCCGGCTGGCCCACGAGCTGGCTGGTATGGCCGCGTGCCATGTTGTTGTTTGTATTGCTTTCATTTTTCTGGCGTTACTTGGCTCTTCCACGAAACTTGTTTTCATCCTGAACTATGTGCTCATTACATATCCAAACGCCCACGCGAGGTTTTGCATGAGGAAACTCGAAACACACGCGCGGTAGAGAAGCAAGTTTCTGATGGGGGGGGGGGGGGGGGGGATGAGATATTTGTCTCAAGGCTGACAAACAATTGTAAAATCCCCGAGTTTCCTGCAGTTGGGGTTCCAGCTCGCTGATGACAAGCATGTGAATGCTGTCTGTGCATCCTCCTGGCAAGGAGACGTGGGGAACATCTCTTGTGGTCACCTTGGCCTTTCCCAGCAACTCCAGCTACTGTCCAAGGCACACGTCCAGGGACCTCCGAGCTCTCTGGCAGGCTGGTCCCTGAACGCCAAAGGGACCTTCTGCTGCTGGGAAAGCTCTCTCTTCCCCTCTGCGGCCCCATCCTCAGAGAGCAGCCAGCCACAGGCAGCACAGATCCACCCAGCCAGCTCTGGGCTGGGAGGCACCAAAATGTGCTGGAGGGTTTCAGTGAGGTCCCAAGTGAGGGGGGCAGAAGGAGGAAAACCCTGCACAGGGTTTGCTTCATAAGGACAAGGGACCTTGTGAAGGGCCAGGAGCACAAGTCTGATGAGGAGCAGCTGTGGGGGAGCTGGAGGGGATCAGCCTGGAGAAAAGGAGACTCAGGGGGAAATTACTCACTCTCTACAGCTCCCTGACAGGAGGGTGCAGCCAGGTGAGGGTCGGTGTCTGTTTCCAGCAATGGGATGAGAGGAAACGTCCTCAGAAAATTTCTTCACTGAAAGTGTTGTCAAGCACTGAAACAGGCTGTTCTGGGTAGTGGTGAAATCACCATCTCTATAAGTATTCAAAAATCACGGAGATGTTGCACTTGGGAACATAGTTTAGTGGTGGGTTTGGCAATGCTGGGCTAATGGTTGGACTTGATCATTTTAGAGGTCTTTTCCAACCTCAATGATCCTGTGATTCTATGTGTAATGCCCCCTTTGTGGTACTTTCCTGGAGCAATGGGTCTCAGTCACTGCTGGAGGTAGGATGAGGCATCTTGGTGCCACTGGGCTCCCCACATTCCTCAGATCCAGTGTTACATTGGCAAACACAGCACAGGCCTGGACCAGCACAGTGGGGTTCAGATTTTCTGTGTTTTCTGAGTTTTCTCCCACTCTTCTATGGCCCCACCACCAGCTGGGCTCCAGCAGCTGCCCTGGTTGGGATACAGGGAGCTCATCTGGAGGCTGCAGGCTGTCCAAATCTGCAGCACAACACCGCCCTGCACATCACCCTCCTCCCCACCGTGCTCTGTCCACTCAGAGTGTGGAGAACTCCTCTTCTCCAGCAGCCACTGGTGACTGCAGAGGACTGGGCAGGCTGTGCTGGAGGGACCACAGGGCTCAGCTTGCAGCTTTGGATTGCTCTGCTTCCTCACAGCCTTCCCCGCTGCCTGTGCTGCAGATGAATAAAGATTTTCCAGGGCTGTCAGTACTGCGTATTTCACCAGCATTCCCTTCGCTTTAAGTCCAAAATGTGCTAAAAATACGCTGGCTTGGCATCCAGGTCTTGATTCAAGTGGTAACAGGATATTGGGCAGAGAAATCCTGGGGTGGTTTCAGTGTGTAGCAGCGAGCTGCTGGCTCTTCCTCCTTTTCCTCCTTCTCCTGGTTGCTATCCCCACTCTCAATCCCCTAAATTTCACATTCAGAGGTCACAGGTTTCACATGGCATCGCTCCCCTAGCAAGGCTCCGAACACTGAGGTGGCATCTCTTCCTCTGGGATTGAGAATTTATCATCAGCAAAGTATTTATTTTATTACTCCTGTGGTAATTTTGGGAGGGGAATGCCTGCAAGCTGGAGCTGGCATAAGTGAAGTCTGAAATGCCACAGGAAGGCCACAAACTTCAAAAGGCCTCGTTAGTGAAGCAGCAGAAGGAGATGCGGATGTTTGTGCCTCATCCATGGATTTTGTTGTGTTGTTGCTGAGCCCTGTGGCTTTGATACCAGTGAAAACACAGCGAACCCCCTCTGGGAAAGGGTCTTGAGATGAAGTGCTTTCTGCTCCCCCTCACTTTTGAAACACCCAGTTGATGTTCAGCCTTCAAGGCTGCTGAGCGAGTTTTTCATCCGCAGGCAGATTTTGCTGCCACATTCTCACTCACTTTCCTAAAATAAAGGGGGAAAAAAATAAAAGAATCCTTGTGCTAATTTAATCTAGCCAGGCATCCTGCTGTCCTGCCTCATAATATCTCTCCAATCTGCCATTTCCAACAGACAGTGGTTTATTGGTTTGGCTTTTTTTTTTTTCCTCCCCCTGCTCTTGAAATATCTCCCCTTCTTTCTCAAGTAGCCCAGAGCTCCCCCAGGGGTGTCCCAAGTTTCCCCCTTGCTTTGGTGGGAGCTCTGGGCGAAAACATCTCCCTTCTCCGGGAAAAACCCTGCAACAACCTCAGACAGAAAAAAGCTTGTTAAAGAATGCCCAGCTTATGTGCTGGTCCTGTCAGTGCTTCATTGATGGAGGGACTCAATGGTCTTAAAGGTCTTTTCCAACCTTAACAATTTTATAAATCCAGGAGTCAGTGCAGGATCAAACCTCACTGGGTTTCTCTTGATCTCTTTCTAAGTCACCCACCCACGAAGAGTTAGGGAAGGAACATTTGGTAATTAAGACTCCTCAGCCTCCTGAGGCACCCCCTGAGCCCCCCATCCCCACAGTGCACTTCCCAAACTTCTCAGCTCACCCCAAATCCTTGAGGCACCCCTTGAGCCCCTCAGAGCATTCCCTCAAACCCACAGCCCCTCTGAGCTCCTCAGGCCACCTCAGCTCCATTGGGGATCCCCCGAGACCCAGAGTCCCCCTCAGCTCCTCAGGGCACCTCAGCTCCATGGGGCATTCCTTGAGTCCCTCAGAATATCCCCTCAGACCCAGAACCCCTCAGACCACCTCAGCTCCATAGCAGATCCCCTGAGACCCACAGCCCCTCTGAGCCTCCAGGCCACCTCAGCTTCATAGGGCATCCCCCTCAGACTCACAGCCCCCTCTGAGCCCCTCAGCTCCATGGGACATCCTCTGAGTCCCTCAGGGAACCCCCTCAGACCCACAGCCCCTCTGAGCTCCTCAGGCCACCTCAGCTCCATGGGACATCCTCTGAGTCCCTCAGGGCATCTCCTCAGCCCCTCTGAGCACCCCCTGAACGCCTCACGGCCCCTGATCCCCGAGTGGCAGCGTGTGAACCCCTCAGTCCCACGGAGCACCCCCTCCGCCGCCCCCGAACCCCCTCAGACCGTCCCCACCCCCACCGGCGCGGCCCCTTTAAGAGCGCGGCCCCTTTAAGAGCTTGGCCCCGCCCCCCGCGGTCGCTGCCGGGGCCGCTGCTGACAACAAGATGGCGGCGGCGGCGGGTCCGGCGGGCGCTGAGAGTCGCGTGTTGGGCTACAGCCTGCACCGCTGGAGCAGCTTCTCCTCCACCTACCTGCCCGAGTGAGTGCCGGGCTCGGCGGCGCGCCTGGAACGCGCTCCGGGCTCGGGTGTGGGGGTGGCCGGGCGGCTGGGCCTGTGTGCGGCCTGTGCGGGCCCCGCGCTGAGGCCCGCGCGAGGAGGCCGCGGCCGGGGAAGTGGGAGCGGAGCTGTGTGTGAGCGGCGTTCTGTGTGTGAGGGGGCTCTGGGCAGCAGGTTTAGGGGAGCTGTGTGTGAGCAGGGTCTCTACAGGAGAGTTTGGGTGGCTGTGTGTAAGAGAGTTCTCTACGGCAGGGTTTGGGGGCTGCGTTTGGCGGAGATCTGTGCTGCGGGATTTGGGGGTTTTAGCGGGGCAGGAGGTGCTCAGCAGGGCTGGAGCTTCAGGGACAAGGCCACCATCACTCAGGGCTGTGTTTGGAGCAGTGGTTCATGAAGAGGTTTGGGAGGAGTTGCGTGGGGCAGAGGGTCTGGGCTTGCAGGTTTTTGAGTTAAAGGGCAGGGCCTGGAGAGTCACGTTTGGGGGTAGCTTTAGCACGAGATATGGGCAAAGGAAAGTTGCAGCTAAAGCTGACCCCAGATTTGGGGGAAGAACAGGCGCCGGTGTGGGAGAGGCTGGGCAGTTACTGGGTGAAACGAGAAGGATCAGTGCCCCCCCTGCCCTGGCCTGCCTCTGTCAGGTGCTTGTGGGCTCTGTGTTTTTTGGCAGCTGGGCGTCCTGTCCTGCCCCTGACCTGTGCAGTGCTGGGCTGTGTCCCCTGCTGTGTGTGGCTTTAGGGGAGAGGGGTCACCTGCTGCTCTAATGGCCTGCCTCTAGGAATTTGGGGGCTGGCAGGAGCTGTTGGAGCCATCGGTTTGCGCTGCTGTACCGAGTGATCCCATCCTCTGTTGGCATCCAGCTGCAGCCTGTGGGATTTCTCTAGTCACTGACAGGTTTGGAGTGACCACAGCGTGGTTTAGGTGTGATGTTTTTGGTTCACCTTTGGGATGAGCCGTCCTTGGTGCTGGGTTTGGGAGGACTGCTGGGGTCACAGCACAACGAGGTCATTATAGGCTGTCCAGACTCATCCCACCATCGATTGTGCTGCTTTTGCTGACCTTTGATTGATGTATCCTCCACTCACCCGCTATCAACAAGTGACGGAGTTGCCTTAGTTGTTAATTATTAATATCCTCAATTATCTCCACTTTGCAAAATGAAGTAAACCTCTAAATCCAGGTTTTTAACTGAACTCTGAATTGTTTGGTTTTTCTGTATATTTTCTGTGTTAGATGTGAAAAAGAACTGCTTTCTTCTCTTAATTTGTAATCTTTGGTGGTAATGAAGCCATCCCTTTACCTTTCCTTTTAAACAGCTTGCCCTTAGGGTGCCTCTTTGAGCTCTCTGATGAGCTTGTAGTTATTTCTACTGGCATTTCTGGCTTTTAAAATCTTGTTAAAGTGTTGGTCCCTGAGGAGAGGGGTGACAGTCCATTATTGATCTCAGTGATGCTGTACAAACACAGAGTATTGTCTTTGTCCTTGATATTCCTTTCCAAGGCTCCCATTAGTCCCTTTTGCTACAGACTCGTGTCAGGAATTAAGTTTCACGTGGCATCTGCAGTGCTGCCCAAAGTCCTTAATGCCTTCCCTGATACAAATTCCCGTTCCTGTAGCTGGGATAGTATTTTATATTTTACAGACCTGTGACCTTGCATTTGGCTGCTTTTAAGATGTTGTTTAAAAGTGCTTGTCATCAGTGCAAACAATTTTATTATCTGCTTTTAAGCACTGTAATCCCAGCAATGGGCTTGGGCTCTGGTGTGCTGACCTTGGTCTGAGGGATTCTGGTTTTGCTATGGAAGTTTTGGTTTTTGCTTGCTAACTTTTTATTCCCATGGCCTGGGAGAGAGCTGGAATACAGCCTGGATTGGAAGGGAGAGGCTTTGACCTGTGGTTTAAGGTCAGCATCTCAAAAAGAGAAAGTTTAATAAGAAATATATGGGAGAGTGGATTTTTGGGGATGGACTGAAGATGGAAATCTTAAAAATTGCTGGGACAAGACCATAACATCCTGTGGGATCAGCATGCACACACAGCTAAAGGTTCTCTTCATATTTAATATGGAGAACAAGATGATGCTTGTCTGGAAAAACTTGATCTTAGAGGATGTTTTCCATCCTGCATGACTCTGTGACATTGGGAATTCTGGTTATGCTCTAGTTTAAATAAATTTGCTGGCATAGCTAGAAAGAAACCACTTTAACCTTTAAGGAGAAAAGGGGCTCTGCCCTCATGTATGTAGGAGTGAATATACAACTTATTAAATATTATTGATTGTTGTTGGGAGCTGTGGTATTGCAGGCAGAGTGCTCAGGGAGGAGCAGCAGAGGAGTTAAGGGTGATTTAAACCCTTGCTTTAAGTAGTTGTATGGTTTTAAATGTAAAACAGAGTTCTGGAATGTAAAACTTCCATCACTGCTGACCAGGGAGGAAATTAAATGTCTAGTGACACCTCACCTGCTTATGTGATGCTGAACTGACATTGAGACTTTTCAGAACACTGAAATCATCTGATAACCTCTCTTTTAATTAAAAAAGCCTAAACAAAGGCAAACAAAAAGTGTTTTTCAAAGGCCTTTCTGGTCATGCTCTAGCTGAGGATCAGTAGCCTATTGAAAAGCACTCGTTTCTTTCAGGGACAGAGAACCTTCCCCTGCTCAATGCCAGTGCCTTTTCTCTGCACTGGGTGGTGGTGCTGGAGGATTTGTTAGTGCTGGATCCACTTTCTGGCAGCTTTACCAGAGCTGCAGCAGCCTGCATGTCTGCAAGGACCTTTCCAGACATTGAGGATTGTCTTAATGAAAAAGAAATACTTCTGTTTTTCAAATCATTGGAGATGTCTATTGGTTTGTACCTGAGTGACTTGGATATTTATTTTAGAAACTGTGGGTAGAAATCAAAGATTTGGTCTGGTAATAGTGACTGTGTTGTAGGAGAGGTTGTGCTTTTGGGAAGAGAATTGATCCAGGAGGAAATTTGGTGTTGAAACATGTGATGCTTCCAGAGATGCTCTGCCTGTGCTGGAGTGTGACGGTGCTCACAGGGGTCTCAGGCTGAGGGAAGAGATGAGAATGTTGACTCCGTGTTTCAGAAGGCTGATTAATTATTTTATGATATATATTACATTAAAACTATACTAAAAGAATAGAAGGAAGGGTTTCATCAGAAGGCCAGCTAAGAATAGAACAGGAAAGAATGATAACAAAGGTTTGTGGCTCTGGCCAGCTGGGCTGTGATTGGCCAATAATTAGAAACAACCACATGAGACCAATCCCAGATGCACCTGTTGCATTCCACAGCAGCAGATAACCATTGTTTACATTTTGTTCCTGAGGTATCTCAGCTTCTCAGGAGGAGAAATCCTAAGGAAAGGATTTTCCATAAAAGATCTCTGTGACACAGAAGCACCAGTTCAGCATTGAGAGGCTTCAGCTTATCCAGCCTGGAAAATGCTCAGCCCAGCCCATTGCCTGAGACTGCTCTGTCAGATCCACCCCTTGTCTCTCCAGGGTTCCTCCCTGGAGGAATGGAGCCTCAGGGGGAGGAATGGAGCCCCAGGGGAGGCTGCTCCCTGGTGCCTCACATGGAGCTGGCCTAGGGATTGTCCCAGCATGGCAGTGGCTTCACTCCAGTGACACAAACGAGTGCTGGTGTCTTTAGACATGCACAGAGCCAGGGAGATGGACTCAGTCCTCTCCCTTCTCTGCCCTCCTGCAGGAGTGATGAGCTCCGTCACTTTGTTTCTTTCTGGACAAGGAGGGAATGACGAGTTTCAGAAGGTAATGCAGGTTGCTCCAATTTGGCTTTTTGTTTTTTTTTTTTTTTTCTTTTCCTTTGGTGAGCAATAGAACCAGAAGCTCTAGCTCTTCACTGAGAGAAGCACTTAATATCCTGACTTTTTAGTGGCTTGTTTTCGTACCTGCTCCAGTTTGAACTTGCTCCTCAGGTGAATGAGAGGTGAAGTGCTGTGCTCTGTGTGATGGCAGCTTTGTGCCCGTTTTTACTGCCAGATTGCTGCATCCTGGGGCTGTGGGTTCTAGTGGCTGCCTCAGCCTCATGACTGATGGCATTTTGTGTTTGATAATGCACTCAGGTCCTTCTGTCACTGCTTTATGTGGCTGAAATCCCACTTCAGAGACCAACAAGAGCTTTTTGCTGTGTTCCTCTATTCACACACTTCAGTAAGGAATGTTCATCCTGTTTCTGTTGCTCAGATTTTCAGTCCTTCAAGTTTTCCAGCATGGAATCTCCGTAGAGGAAGATCAGTATATTTCCTGTGTTTGACTCCAGGATTTTTAATTAGTGCTTTGTTTATTTCTTGTGCTAAGGCTGTTATTAAGAATATAAATTGAGATTGGTTTCTTAGCTGATAATTAAATGCCATCAACAACATCTTAGCTGGTGTCACTTTTTCATTGCAACTCACATTTATCTATTATCTAACTTCAGTTGTTCAGAGGATTCCAGTCTTCTCCAGTTTGATGCCTTGAGTGGTGTCATATGCTGAAGGCTGAATAACTTTGTTGTCCCTTTGCTAGGAAGTATCTAGTTGATTTGTTAAAATACACTCAAAATAATTTTATTTTTTCATCAGTTTGCTGTATTTCCATCAAACCAGGGGAAGAAAACTTAGTGTAAGGTATTTTGATAGTAAAATATGAGTGACTCATAGGCTTTTAAAGTGAGAATGCAAATTTAACTTTTGCTTTCTAGTTATGAGGATGTAACAGCAAATTCCTGGCCAAACTAAAATGTACTGCTGTAGTGGTCTGCTCTCAAAAAAATGCACTCTAATGATTTCAAATCTTGCAAAACCTGATCCAGAAGGTGAAGAGAACACATGCAGCAAACTTTTTGGGGTAAAGTCCATAAGGATTAAAAACAACAGAGCTAAACAAACAAACAAAAAGCCCCAGGTGAAAAATAACCTGAATTCCAGCTCCTGTGCTCGCTGAGATTTTTGTAACAGGAAAAAACATATGTTT